CCTCAGGCCCACCCTGAGACCCTCAGGCCCACCCTGAGACCCTCAGGCCCACCCTGAGACCCTCAGGCCCACCCTGAGACCCTCAGGCCCACTCTGAGACCCTCAGGCCCACTCTGAGACCCTCAGGCCCACTCTGAGACCCTCAGGTCCACTCTGAGACCCTCAGGCCCACTGTGAGACCCTCTGCAGGTGAGCTGCAGTATGAAGCAGGCAGGAGAGGAACAGAAGGGGGTCTGGACCACTGATAATCTCCAGCTCATTTACAGCAACACAAAGTGGTTTATTAGAATGTGAGCCCCACCCTGAGCCAGCCTCAGGTCTGACTGCTGCTGCAAACCTGGCAGTCTGGCTTTGGACTGCTGTGGTGGTCTTCAGGCAGACCTGAAGACCAGGTGGGACCAACAGAACCCCAGCAGACTGACCAATCAGTGCTAAGATTCAGCTGCTGACCTGGTCTCCTCCTGACCAATCACATTCAGCATTCAGTGCAAAGTTTGGGGGGGGGGGGCACTGACACACACTGCCTCTTCACTGTGGATCAGTTGTGGACCTGATGGGGGTCCGCACACAGGAAGTGGCTCAGCTGATCTGCTGCTTCCTGTCTGACAACTGCAGCTCCGACTATCTGACCAGGTTCAGGTTTGACAGGAAGTTCACTTGTTGCATATTTGTCCTCAGGAAGAGACAGTGTGTGTGTGTGTGTGTGTGTGTGTGTGTGTGTGTGTGTGTGTGTGTGTGTGTGTGTGTGTGTGTGTGTGTCAGTGCCCCAGCAGTGGTAGAGACAGCATAGAGAATAAAGCCTCAGCCTGTACACAGCAGCAGCAGCAGCAGCTACAGACAGGACTCCCAGTGCAGCTGCAGGTCTGAACTGTCCAGGAAGTCAGCAGAGAACACACTCGGGGGGGTGTGTGGTGCCAGAGGGGCTAAACTCGTCCCCCCGGCCACACTGCCTCCTCTGCCTCCGCCTTCAGTCCCCATGGAGATATCCAGCCAGTCCATGCTGTCCAAGGAGGGGACCCCGAAGTCCAGCCCCGCAGAGGGGGGGGAGAAGCCCAGGTCCGACGTGTCCATGGGGGAGGGAGGGTGGTCCAGGATGCTGGGGGTGCTCAGCATCTGGCTGTGGAGGTCGTCGATCAGCGTCAGACCACCGTCAGGCTCCATGCCCAGCAGAGGGCTGCCCGTGGTGCTCTCCAGGAAGTCCTCCAGACGTCCGCTGCCCCCACACGCTTCTCCTGCAGGGGGCTGGGGGGGCGCCAGAGGCTCTGTGGGGGTGGG